CCGCTGACTCGCCTTCCCCTCCCATTGCTCCCTCATCAGATCTAGGGGGCCCCTCCCCCTGCTCCCATGGATTCCTGGGGCACCTCCCTGTACCCAAACCAGCTCCCCACAGGCAGCCCCTGGACTGCTCCCTCTCTGGCCTCCCCCTCGCCCCAGAGGAGGGAAGAGGTATCGACAGGGGGCAGCCAGGGGATTCTCTGCCCCCGTGGTGCCCCGGCCGGGGCAGGGCTGCACAGTGATGCCCCTGTGCTCAGTTGCAGAGGAAGCGGCACATTGGGAACGACATCGTGGCCATCGTCTTCCAGGACGAGAACACGCCCTTCGTGCCGGACATGATCGCCTCCAACTTCCTGCACGCTTACGTGGTGGTGCAGGCCGAGCGCCCCTGCTCCGAGCACACGCTCTACAAGGTGGGGCCCGCGGGGCTGAGGGGCCAGGAGAGCGTCCCCATAGGGTGGCCACAGGGGACCAGTCAGCATTCACTGCGGGCTGCTGCTCCCAGCTGGGAGGGGCAAGGCTTTAGGGAATCAGGACTCCTGGGCTCTGCCATGGACTCTCTGGGAGCCAGTCCCTTGTCGCTCCGTGCCTCGGTTTCCCCTTGGGGCTCGAGATCATGTGAGCATGGGCGTTCTCGCTGCTCCCCTGGCATGGGCACTGGAGGGGATGGGGCCCTGTCCAGAGGGCATGGCATGGACATGAGGCTCTTGTCCCCACAGCCGGGCCCAGGCTGCCCCAAGGGTGCTCCCTGGCCCCAGTGAGGGGCAGATGGCAGCTCCTGCTGTCACCACATGCTGCTGGAGAGTCCTAGCCAGAGACTGGGCCCTTTGGCAGGGCCTGGGGGACACTGCTCAGCAAAGCCCGGCGGGACGTGGGGGGCCCGTAGGTCATGGAGCTCCTGGGCAGGTCTGTCGGGTGGGTGATTCCCCTGGGCCAGGAAGGCACCCAGCGTCTGGTAAGTGTTGAGGCGGCAGGCGGGTGATTCCCCTGGGCCAGCAAGGCACCCAGCGTCTGGTAAGTCTGGATCAGGGCCCCGCAGTGGGGTGGATCAGGGCCCTGCAGTGGTGAGGCCGGGCCCCGCAGTGGGTGGATCAGGGCCCTGCAGTGG